CGACCTCTTGGCAGCCTTCTGTGCGGAGCACGGCATCCGCCAGACGTTCACACTTCCGGCCTCTCCGCAACAGAATGGGGTTGCTGAGCGCCGCATTGGCTTAGTCATGGAGGTCGCTCGTACCTCCATGATCCATGCGGCTGCTCCCCATTTTTTGTGGCCGTTTGCGGTCCGGTACGCCGCGCATCAGCTCAACCTCTGGCCCCGTGTCTCCTTGCCGGAGACCTCGCCCAGACTGCTGTGGACGGGGAAGGTTGGCGATGCGTCGCGTTTCCGGGTCTGGGGTGCTCGTGCCTTTGTCCGCGATACCACCGCGGACAAGCTCTCCACCTGCGCTGTTCCCTGTGTCTTTCTTGTCTTTTTCCCTGACGCGCCCGGTTGGCAGTTTTACCACCCCACCTCGCGCCGTGTCTTCCCCTCTCAGGACGTCACGTTCGACGAGACGGTTCCCTTTTACCGTCTCTTCGCTTACTGCACTGCGCCTCTCCCCCCCCCCGCCGCTCTTCCTCGCTCCAGGTGCTCCCCAGGTAGACCCCCTCCCCGCTCCCGGTCCTGCTCCTTCAGGTGTGTCTCAGGTAGACCCTCCTCCCTTGCCTGCGCCGGTTGAGGTCACTGGTGACTCAGGTCCTGCTCGGGGTGTTGCTTTTGGGGGTGCTGAGCCTGGGGGTGCTGAGCTTGGGGGTGCGGAGCCTGGGGGTGCGGAGACTGGAGGTGCAGAGCCTGGGCGTGAGGAGTCTGGGGGTGCTGAGCCTGGGGGTACTGAGTCTGGGGGTGCTGCACGTGGGGGCGCTGAGGCGTCTGGTGAGCAGTCTCCCTGGGGCGGCCATCTACGTAGTCGCTCCGCTGTTACCTCGCCGCTGCACTCTCGTCGTCGACTCCCTCTCTCCACATAGCAGCTGCGTGAGTGGTACGCTGACCGTCAGGGTCGCGCTGCTGGAGCTAGTGGCGCTGCTGCGGGAGGCGCTAGAGCTGGTGACTCTGCTACTGGAGTTGTTTCTGCTGGAGGTTCTGGAGCTGCTGCGGGTGCTGGAGCTGGAGCTTCTGGAGCTGCTGAGGGTGCTGGAGCTGGAGGCTCTGGGGCTGCTGAGGGTGCTGGAGCTGGAGGTTCTGGAGCTGCTGCGGTTGCTGGCGCTAGAGGTTCTGGAGCTGCTGCGGGTGCTGGCGCTGAGGGTTCTGAGTCTGCTGTTGTGCGGTATCCTTGGAGAAGCCGCCTTTGTCCGCGTGTGCCTCTCACCTCACAGCAGCTGCACGACTGGTACGGTCGCCGTCCGGGTCGCGCTTGTAGAGCTCGGGGCTCAACCGCTAGAGGTACTTTTGCTGGCGTCACTGGAGCTGGGAGTGGTGCTGGTCCCGGAGGTGCTCGTACTGGAGGTACTGGAGCTGCTAGGGCTGGAGGTGCTGAGCCTGAGGGTGCTGCTGCTGGAGGTACTGAGTCTGGGGGTGCTGCTGCTGGAGACACTGAGGCTGGAGTCCCTGGGCTGGAGGTGCCGGTGCTGAGGGTGCTGCTGCTGGTGGAGCTGATCCTGGAGGAGTTGGCGCTGAGGGTTCTGGAGCTGCTGAAGGTGCTGGAGCTGCTGGGGGTACTGGAGGTGCTGGTGCTAGTGGCACTGCATAGCCGCGCCTGTTCTTTGCTCCTCCATCTCCGTCGTCTCAGCCACTGCCTGACTCTGTGCTTCCCCAGGTTCTTTGTCTCCCTTCGTCTACTGGTCTTCCGTTACAGCCTGGCTCACCACTGTCAGCTCCTTCTCCTTACACTGAGCAAACAGGGGGTCTTATTGAGCATCGTGAGCCGGCGTCGCGTCCTGTCTCGCCTGTCCGTCCTGGTCGTTCTGGTCGTCGTGTTCCTCGTTTGCGTCTGCCGGTTGTCTCCGGCACCCACCTCGTCGTCCGTCGTCCTTCCTCTCCTCCGCAGCGTGTTCCCCTGCCGTCCCCTCCTACGTCTTCTCTGCCTACCGTTCCTGACCTTGAGTCTGACCGCACCCGTGCTACTCACTCTACTGTCACGCGTCTGCTAGCCACAGTTGTCACTGACCCGTCGTTTGAGTCTGCTGCTGCCTCTGCCTTCATCGCTGAGCTTGTCGACTTTGCTGCTGCCTGTCGTCTAGACTACGCCGCTAGTCTTGTTGCTAAATCTGAGTCTGTCTGTCCTCCGTCCGTCGGGGGTGAGTGTGCTCTTGGCACGGACGTCCTTGAGGACAGGCAGGAGGACTACGAGTGTCTTGCAGCCGCTGCGCCTCATCTCGTGTCCATGCTGCTTGCTCCTGAGGGAGACCCAGATGCTCCAGACATCCCGACCCCGCGCTCTTACGCTGAGGCGATCGCGGGTGAAAATTCCTCTCAGTGGCAGACAGCCATGGACGCAGGGATGGTATCCTTGAAGTCCACAGGCACTTACGTCGACGAGGTTCCCCCTTCTAGGGCGAACATCGTCAATGGCATGTGGATTTTCAGGGTGAAGCGGCCGCCGGGTTCTCCGCCTGTCTTCAAGGCTCGTTACGTTGCACGAGATTTCAGTCAGCGAGAGGGAGTAGACTTCTTTCATACCTTCTCCCCCACCACGAAGATGACCACTCTTTGGGTACTGCTGCAGTTGCCGCTCAACGTGACTACGAGCTTCACTCTCTTGACTTTAGCACAACTTTCTTACAGGGCAGTCTGCCCGAGGAGATCTGGCTGCGCCGCCCTTCTAGCTTCACTGGGTCGTTCCCTCCTGGTACCCAATGGAGCTTCCGGCGGCCGGTTTACGGTCTCCGCCAGGCGCCACGTGAGTGGCACGACACACCGAGAACTACACTTTCTGCTCTTGGGTTTGCTCCGTCGACTGCTGACCCGTCGCTGTTTCTGCGCAGCGACACTTCGCTGCCGCCGTTCTACATCCTTGTGTACGTCGACGGCTTGGTCTTTGCCACTGTTGACACTGAGGCTCTCGCTCTGGTGAAGTTGGAGCTGTAGAAGAGACACACGTGCACAGACCTGGGTGAGCTGCGCAGTTTCGTTGGCTTGCATATCACCCGGGACAGAGCACGCCGCACCATCAGACTGACTCAGTCACACATGGTGCAGCAGGTCCTTCAGCGCTTCGGCTTCACCTGTTCCTCGGCAGAGGCCACTCCTCTGGCTACAGGTCACTCGCTCTCAGCTCCACCTTCGGACGAGTCCGTAGAGCCAAGTGGTCCTTTCCCAGAGCTAGTGGGCTGCCTCATGTACCTGATGACCTGCACTCGTCCTGACCTTGCGTATCCTCTTGGCCTCCTGGCTTGCCATGTGGCTCCTGGTCGGCACCGAAAGGTGCACATGGATGCTGCTAGGAGGGTACTACGCTACTTGTGCAGTACATCGGGCATGGGGCTCGTGCTTGGAGGACGGAGCGACGTTGTCCTCTCTGGGCACTCGGACGTTTCTTGGGTTGACGACCAGGCTACGCAGCGGTTGTCACAGGGTTACACCTTCAGCCTTGGCTCAGGTTCAGTTTCTTGGCATTCTACACGCTCGTCTTCTATTCTCAGCTCCAGTTGTGAGGCTGAGATCTACGCCACAGCCATGGCTGGACAGGAGTTACGCTGGCTCACCTACCTGCTGACCGACCTGGGAGAGCGGCCTCGTTCTCCTCCAGTTCTGTACGTAGACAACAAGGCCGCCATTGCCTTGTGTGAGGAGCACAGACTGGAGCACAAAACGAAGCACATCGCTCTGCGTCACTTCCTGGCTCGAGAGTTGCAGCAGCGGGGTCAGCTTCGCCTTGCTCACATGGCCACTCGGGCCAACAGTGCTGATATATTCACCAAGGCACTTCTATCTGGTGACCATCAGCGCTTTTGTACTTTGTTGGGCCTTGTGCCTACGTTTCCACACTTGGTGTAGTCTCTGCTTGTACTGTGATCTATAGATATATACCTGCATGCTTGCTCTTGCTAGGTAGAGATCACTGTGCTGTTCTTGTTGCTTATATACCTCTGCATGTGGACTGGTTTTGTGGCCGTTTGCTTGTGCTCAGTATGTGTGGTGATGTTGTGATCCACCCTGAGCTGTGTTTTGTTTCTTCTCTTGACTGGTCTTGTGACCATTGCTTGCTCTGGCTATCCCCCATTTCGCCTATGGGGGTGTGTTAAAACATATGCATATTAGTATCTAGGCTATATTAGGGCTAGTCTTTACACCAACCTTGATCTAATGACACACATTTTCATGCCTAAGATTCTAAGCCTTCGGTCGTCGCACCCCGACCTCACGGCTTGGCGGGTAACCCGCGCTCCGGGCCTCAGCTTCGACATTTTCCCCAACCTCAGTCCCAGGCCCGTTGCGCGACAACCATAGTCTATTACCGTTACCATTATAGTTTCGCTATATATCCTTCGCTCATGCCTTCGCTCATTGTACTCTTGCTTCGATTGTGCAATTCTCGCTCGCTCACTCAATTGCATTTGTAACATAATCAAACACGTGTTTTTTTTTTTTTTTTTTTTTTTTTTTTATTTTAAGAAGTTGCCTGCTTATGACATTATACAATCTTGAAATCATGGCATTTGTGCATACCAAAGCATTGTTGTCCATATATATTTAAAACACACACGAAAGAAGCCCCTTGAACATATCAAGCAAACATGATGGATATGGTAGGACATGATCGATTGATACAAAGTACATCCACAATTTACACACACCTGCCAATGAGCGAATGCAGTATGATTCATCTTACAAGATGTACAGTAGAAATCGTATGAGGCCATTTTTTCCTCTTTTGAATTTGATTAATGTTTAGGGCTGTCGTTGACTATTTACATATGGAAATGCATCTCACAGCACAGCTCTATTTTCTACTAGAGCAAAGTATGTTCTGGCGATTGACCTAGCCCAAACGGGGATAGACTTGTCACGAGATTACTTGACCAGCAGTAACCAGTAGGATCCAATTGCTTCTAAATCGACGGCCTGAGTCGTTCAGCAATCATGAGCAGTCTATGCGGAGCGGTAGGATTCTTTCCGAGTATCTTTAGCTAGCGATGCGCAGACATCCAGGTCCTCCGCCTTATGGTCCGCGTCGCGCAGGATCCGCCGCGCCCGCTGGCGCGCACGCTGGCGCGCACGGCTATGGTGGCGGACAGGGCTACACTGGCGGCGGCGGAAGCAGCGGTTATGGCGGACACGGGTACACGGGGGGAGGCGGTGGCGCAGCTAGGGGCCCGCGCGGAGGCAGGTCGCCGTATGCGCAGCATCCTTCCGCGCAACCGCCCGCCGTGCAAGCTCCCCCAGCGGCGCAAGCAACTCCCCCGCCTCCCCCTCCGCCAGCCCCCGTGAACCCCGCCGTGGCGGATGCCGGCGCGCGGGCTGTGCGGTGGCTTGAGGAGGCAGCGGAGGGAATCGGCGCTGACGTGGCGTTGCGCGGAGCGGCCAGCGATTCTGGAGCCACCAGTCGTTTCTTGACAGCTGGTGGCGATGGATTGCCTCAAGAGGTGGGCTCTTAAGAAGTTCGGTTCGCTCATTAGCTTTATAAAGACGTCTCTCCTTCAGCGTCATTCGTCATGTGAGAGCACTTAAAGTCTGGGGTATTGTGCGCCCCTATTCTGCTACGTAACCCACTTTGAACCTGCTTCAGCAGCTTTGTCAATGCACCCATTTATCCCTTCACGTCCCACTCACTCCCATTGCATCTCCGTTATAACCTGCCTCAGGTGCAGTCCATAAGCCGAGTGGCGTCGCTACTCCAGTCGCCCATGGCATCTCAATTGCTCGCCTGGGAGCCCACAGCCAGTCGCATCTGGATGCTGCTCGAACGCCTGCTCGCACACAGGTGTGCTTCTAGCAGGGGGTGATGTCACACAGGTGTGCTTCTAGCAGGGGGTGATGTCACACAGGTGTGCTTCTAGCAGGGGGTGATGTCACACAGGTGTGCTTCTTGCAGGGGTGACGTCACGCAGGTGTGCTTCTAGCAGAGGGTGACATCACACAAGTGTGCTTCAAGCAGGGGGTGACGTCACACAAGTGTGCTTCAAGCAGGGGGAGACGTCACACATTGTCATTCTAGCAGGGGGTGACGTCACACAATTGTCCTTCTAGCAGGGGGTGACGTTACACAATTGCCTTTCTAGCAGGGGGTGACGTCACACAATTGCCCTTCTAGTAGGGGGTGACGTCACACAATTGTCCTTCTAGCAGGGGGTGACGTCACACAATTGCCCTTCTAGCAGGGGGTGACGTCACACAATTGTCCTTCTAGCATGGGTTGACGTCACACAATTGTCCCTCTAGCAGGGGATGGCGTCACACAGCTGTGCTTCCAGCAGGGGTGGCGTCACACAGGTGTGCTTCTAGCATGGTATGACGTCACGCGGAGGGGTGCACTACAAGCCACACTACAATTACAAAAAGATGCTCACAACAAACACCACCAAACCCACTCTTTCCCTTTCCCTTCCCCCCCATCCAACCTCGCTCCCCCACGCACTGCCTCTTGCTCAGGGATGCGGTCATCCAATCAGCAGCTGCTTCTGCCATTGGCGTTGCAGCGGCGGTGCGCCTCCCGTCCGAATCGACCCCTCTTTCTCCAGGCGCTGCAGCTCTGCCAGCTGTCGCCGTCTCATTTGCAGGTGGATAAGAGAATTTTGTGAATACGGGTGGTGAGGAGGAGGGCTGGTGGGTGGGCAGCTGATTGGGCAGCTGAATTAGGCGGCTGATTGGGCGGCTGATAGGGCCGGAGTGGCCGAATGGGTGGTTTACAATGCGAGTCTCGCTTATGTTATGCCACTGCTGTTTGTATCATCCAGTATCACCGCCACAGTCATGACTCATGGGGACCCACCACAGCCACAGTTATGCCGAATGGTGGAGAAATTCCAAATATCGCTCACAATGCGAACCTCACTCACAGTGTCAGTGTGTGTCTTCCCAGTCCCCATTGCCCTCTCTCTCTCCACTCCCCACCCACCCTCGCTCGACCCCCGTTCCCCCCATCGTCCCCACCCCCCTTTACCTGTCAGGAGCGGAGCGTCTCTTTGCGTGGGCCCTCCCCCAGCTCACAGATCCCAATGCTGACGTGGCAAACACGCGCCTCGCCCTGCTGGCAGCTGCCCCCTTCTGCCAGCTGGCACCCGCGCCTTTGCCAGATCCGAACTCAGCCCCAGCTGCTGCTGCACCGGCAGGAGCAAATGCAGCAGCAGCAGCAGCGACGGCAGCAGCAGCGACGGCAGCAGCAGCGGCGTCATCATCAGCAGCAGCAGCGGCGGCATCATCAGCAGCAGCAGCGGCGGCATCAGAGCCATACGTCTCCAGCTGTGTGCTGGCCTGTCAGGGCCTGCTAGAGGACGAAGGAACGCCGCCCACGCTCCTCCCGCCCATCCTCTCCGTCCTCGTCGCCGTCGCAGAGCGCTTTCCCGGAACCTTCCTGCAGCAGTTTGAAGAAATCATAGACCTGCTGCTGGGGTGGGCCATGGAGCCGTCAGTTTTGCCGGCTAGCCGGCAGCTTATCGGCGGCTGTTTCTTGCGGTTTGGCCGGCAGTGGCGGGAGAAGGGATCATTCACTCGAAACGTGCTGCTGAAATTGGTGGGAGATATTGAAACGGAGGTGAAAGCAGGTAACGGGGCGGGTGATAGTGGTTCTGCTGGTGTTGCTTCTGGGGCTGTCGGTACTGCAGGAGGTTCTGGCAGTAGTGTTGGTGGGGGAAGGAGCAGGGCAGCAGCAGCAGCAGCAGCAGCAGCAGCAGCGGCAGCGGCAGCGGCAGAAGAGGCAGACGCTTCGGATGCTCGCTTGGCCGCGCTGACTTTGTCTTTTAGTGCCGTTCTGGGCGGCGTGACAGGCTGGCGAGGTGTCCCTAGTGCCAGCACTCGTAGCGGGGCTGTTGGGGGAAGTGTGAGTGGCACGGTTATTGGGAATGCAGCAGTTACGCGCGGGAATGCGGTTGGGAGAGAGGATGAATCATGGCGGCAGGTGGTTCCTTTGGAGAGCCTGTTCCGGCGCTGGCTGGTGCTGCTGCGAGATCTCCTGCAGGTGGACATTCAGGTGGATTCTCAGGTGGAGGGAGGAGATGGTGGGACAGCAGAGCCAGTGGCAGCAGTGGGGGCGAGGGCAGCAGCAGGAGGGGGAGTAGCAGGAGGGGGAGCAGCAGGAGGGGGAGTAGCAGGAGGGGGAGCAGCAGGAGGGGGAGTAGCAGAAGGTGGAGCAGCAGGAGGGGGAGGGCAGGTGAGGAGGGTGCCAGTGGGGAGAGCAGGGGTGGCACGGGTGGCATGGGTGGCGGAGTGGTGGGCTGTGCTGCCTATCTTTGTCTGGGCACTTTGTGTTGGTGGTAACCACGCGCAGTTGTGGAAAGGGAAGGTACAGCAGCACCAGGAGCAGCACCAAGAGGCGCTGCCTCGTTTCTCTCCTGTTGGGCAGTTTCTAAGAAGCTTCTATGTGCCAGCTGTCGCCCCTCTCCTGAACGCCGTCGCCAGCACGCGCCTCTTCCCGCCGCCCGCCCTCGCGGCCGTGCTGCGCTGCCACCTGGCGGCGCTTGATTCGCTGCGCGGGCTCTGTGTGACGGAGCTGCAGGCTCAACTGGCGGAGGTGGTATCTGTCAAGTGCAACACAGGAGATCAGCGAGGCCAACAGCAGCAGCAGCTGCAGGGAAGAGAAGAAGACCTTACGACAGGAGTACGAAACGCAGGAGCCGGAAAAGAAGGAGATGGGAAAGACGTTTTGCCCAAAAGTTCCTTTGCAGCAGACCCCCTGGCTGCAGCCTTCTCTGCGCTCCTCTTTGCCCGCCCCTATGCCCCGCTCCCTCTCCTCCGCCTGCACCCCCACCCTGCTGTCACCTCCGCTGCAGCCGACACCCTCCTCTCCCTCCTCGCCTTCCCTCCTCTCGCACTCCTTTCCTCTACCTCAGTCATCCTTCCCGTCGCCCCTTCTTTGCCGTCCTTCCCCCGTTCCTCCTACTCCCTCCCCTGCTCCCCCCTGTCAGTGCCGCTCGCCTTCCTGCTGGCAGAGATGCGAGACTGCTACCGCTGTGTCATTCCCACCACACACTGCAGCAGCACTGGTAACCAGGCGACTGGTGGGGTTGCTGGCGAGGGGGCAACCGGGGCAGGAAAGCAGCAGAGGAAGAAGAGGAGAAGGGCCGTTCACCCACGGGGCTATCGTGCCCTCTTTGACTGGTCACCCAACTCCGCGCTGGAAGGCTGGTGCAGGCAGCATGGCTCCCACCTATTTCCGTCTGCTGCTGACGTGGCGGAGTGGGATTGGACGGTGGAGGAAGCGGAAGCGCTCCTGCGGTTTGACCTGGTGGCTCTGTCCTCGGGGTTGACCCGCGGCGCTCTGCTGTGCGCCGACAGCATGAGATTTGATGCAGCAGCACCATCACCATCACCGTCAGCACCAGCAGCAGCAGTGCGGCTCCAGCAGAAAATGGCAGAAGGAATCTCCTCGCTGCTCTGTGCACTTGTTTCAGACTTCCGCCACTGGACCCACCGCCTCTGGCCACTCCCGCGCTGCCAGGTGGCGGCGTTTCACGGGCTGAGGTCCGCCTCTCAGGCAGCATTCCGAGGCGAGTGCATGCTGCTGGGGTTTGATGCGGCAACTATCGCAAGCACATCCGTTATTGTCACAGCCACTACAGCTGGAGCCACCGCCACAAGTGCTTTCCCATGTGCACCTGTTACTGCCGGCGTTGGAAATGCTTCTTCTGCGGAATCAGAGAGTACAAGCGCTGAGATCGGTACCACTAAGGATGGCACTGGCAAGTCTCTGATTGGGGGGAGGATTAGGAGCAGCACCAGAGGTGCATCTGCAGCTGCTCTTGTGCTTGCTGAGCTGGCGCTTAGCTGGCGTGACGTGGCGTGGGCATTGCAGGAGGGCGACTCCTGTGCTGGTCTGAAGCTGGAGGCTCTGGCATGGCTTCGACAGATATCTGAGTCAGCAATGGCTGAGTCAGCGTTGTCTGAGTCAGTAGCAACACAAGCACCTACAGCAGGAGGAACAGCATCACAAGCGGCAGCATTCACACAGTCACTTCTCCACTCAATCGTCCCCCTTTCCCTCCCCACCATCCCTCCACGCCTCCTCCTCTCTCTCACCTCCTCTCTCCTCCACCCTTCTCTCTCCATCCGGCTGGCAGCAGCTGACAGCTTGTCGCTTCTCGCAGCCACAGGGGCGCTCTTTGGCCGGCAAGCTTTGTCTGTAGCGCAAGTGGCGCTGTTCCTGGCGGGCGGCGATCACGATTCCGCCATCCGCAAGGCAATGCAGGAGTTGCTTCAGAAGGCGCTGCTCTCTGCTGCTGTCTCCCCCACTGTCCCCCGTCCTCTCCCCCTCTCTCCTCTCCGTCCCCTCACTCCCTCTTGCTCTTCTCTCACCTCTCCTCTTCTTACTATCTCCTCTCCGTCTCTTGTTTCTGAACCACCTGAGATTCTTCGTGGGCCGTCTTCAGGTGAAGCATGGCTCCTGAAAGCTGCGGTTTCAGGTGAATTGCCAGTCCACCTGGCGTCGGCGTCAGGTGATTTGCCGCTCAAGCCACATCAGCTCGTGGGGGTTCTCAACCTGCTCTCCCGCAAGCAGTCCACGTCAGCACCGCCGCCGCATCCTGATTGGCTGCTGCGGATCCTGCTCACCCTCCCATCCTCTCCTCCCTCCACTTCCTCTCTCCCCTCACCTCCTACTGCTTCTTCTCAAACCATATCAGCAGCAGCAACAGCATCAATTGAAGCAGAAGCAGCAGATGGAGAGCTGGACAGCTGGCGCCAGCTGGCGGCGGTGAACGGTGAGCTGGCGCTGAGGTGGCTGGTCCAGCTGGCGGCGCGGCAGTGCATGAGCGGGCGGCTGCGCACGCATTACGGGGGGGCATCTGCCACGTTTGCAGCCTTTGAACGGAATCTCTCTGACGCCACCAATCCCACTGTCGCCCGCCTGCCCCTGCTGCCCGAAGGGGTGGTGGTGGTGGTGCCAGGGAAGGGAGGGACTCGAAGAGGAGGGAAAGAAGCCTCGGCTTCAGCTTTGGGCCGAACCAGCTCAGCAGGTTCGGGTGGAGCTGGTTTGGCAGGTGGATATGGGAGTAGTTCCTCAGCTTCATCCCCTCAACTGTCCCTCTCTTCCTCTCCCTCTCTCTCATCTTTCCCTGCTCCCTCGCTCTCCTCCTTCCCAGCCCCATCCACCTCCTCTTTCACTCTCCTCTCCTCCTCCTCCGCTTCCCCCTCCCTCTCCACCTCCGCCTCTCCCCCTACCCCGCCCAACCTCCCCCCTCCTCTCCCTCCCATCTGCACCGGTGCTGAGCTGGCACTCGACCCCGAAGCGCCACGTCAGCACGAGCTGGCGCTGATTTCCCTCCTCGATTTCATGGAGGCTTTAGAACGGCAGGTCCAGTCAGCAACGGAGGGCAACTCCTTCACACCCCCACCCTCCAACCCTAACAGCCTCGGGTTTTTCCGAGCCAACAGGCGCGTGTGCGAGGAGTGGTTCGGAAGGTTTCGGGAAGGACTGGTGCATTTGGCGCTGGGCGTGGGGCGGAATGGAGCTGTGGTTTTCCATGCAGGGAAGAAACTAGGGGAGCTTAAGTGCCCTGTAGAAGTGAGGGAGTGGGAGTGGGAGTGGGACGAGGATGGGGATGGGGACGGGGAGGGGGAGCGGCAGCAGCTGCTGCAGCAGTTTCAGCAGCAGCAAGGGTGGGCCAGCTCAGCAACAGATGTCGCTCACGCGGTGCGCCACCTGGCATTCGGTCTGTGCCAGTCCCGCAATCCAGATGCGATTGCTGGGCTGAGGGAGTGGCTTCAGGTGCTCGTGCGGTCGCTGCCACACCCTCCTGGCTCTGCTCCTGCTAACGCAAGAACAGCAGCAACCGCAGCATCAGGAGGAGGAGCAGCCGAGCTTCTACAGAAACATGTGTGGCTCTTGAAGGGGATGGAGCTGGAGGCAGATGGAAGGTTTGAGGAAGCTGCCGAGCATTACAGAGGAGCGATGGAGACAGGAAGAGTTGGTGATAGTGGTAGTGGTGCTGGTGGTGATGATGGTGGGGTAAGAGGAACAAAGGCGACGGGGGTGGTGGAGAAGAGTGGGTTGGGGCGAGCGGGGCAGTTAGGAGCCGAAGAAAAGGAGGGACAGGGAGGGGGAGAGGGGGAGGGCGAGGGGTGTGTGATGGGTGCGCGGCTGATAGACGTATACAGCGCTGTGGGGGACTTGGAGCAGCTGCAGGCGTTCCTCAAGGTGCTGCTGGGTGCTGCTGGGTGCTCTGCTCTCTTCTTTGCTGTGTCACACACTGCCTCGCCTCCTCAGTGTACCCTTGCCTTGTCCCAATCCCTTACTCTTTCCTCCTCTGATTCTGCCCATTCCCTCCTCACCCCTTCCTGTTTTCTCTCTTCCTTGTATCCCCTCCCACCTCCCCAACCCCGGGCTTAATAAATCGCAGGCCAATCCTCTCAGCCAATCAGCTGAAGCTGCCACATCAGCGTGCCTTCATTACCAGCAGGATCTGTCATCAGCTCTCTCCCTCGCATGCTTCGACCCGCTCCTCCTCAACCCCAACCCCAACCCCAACCCTTCTGCGGACAACCTTCTTGCTGGGAGCGCGGATTTGGGAAGAGCAGCCCACCGAGCCCCACCTTTGCTGCTGCCGCCGCCGCTGCTGTCTGCTCCTGTGCGATCCCTGGATGCATTCTCAGCCGTTAGATTCGCCCGGCACAATGCGATCGCTGCCATGCTGTATTTGGGAAGAATGGTTCAGCCATCCCAGCATGCAGCAGCAGCAGCAGCAGCAGGTGCAGGAGCAACAGGGTTACCAACAGGTTTGGCAGCAGCAGGGACGCTAGAGGCAGCGTTAACTGTATTGGCGGGAGGTGCTGACCCCAAGGAACCTTCTGTGAAGCAGCTTCTGGATGGGCTGGAATCTGCCAGGTCAGCGCTGGGTCGGCCTCTGTTGTCTCTATCCGCAGAGGGCTATCCCGTGAACCCAGCAGCAGCCATGCCACTGGCGCTAGCAGCACTGGAATGCTCTCTCCTGCAGGGCACACTAGTAGGACTGTCCAACACACGGGAGCAGCACCCCCATTTTGAGGCGCCTCAACAGTACAACGCACCGGAGCAGCAGAACAAATCACAGCAGCAGCAGCAGCAGCAGCAGAAGCAGCACAGGGATGGGAATCGTCAGCTCCACATACACAACCTGTTTGGTTCCAACGGGTTTGGAGGAGAAGATTCTTTGTTTGCCAGCTGTCACGATGGCATAGGCTCGCTGCTCTGGGAGCTGCCCCCTTGGCTCGGGGTGCTCCAAGCCTGCCATGTTGCCCAGCCACGGCATGCCGAAGCTGCCTCGGTGCTTCGGCTGCATCTGGCCCGGCAGGCCAGGCTCGGTGGGAACCTGCGGCTGGCGAACCGGTTGCTGTCTGGTTCGGTGGCCGCTCCGGCAGAGCAGCAGCAGGTTTGGCGAGATGATGTGAGAGAAGAGCTGGGGATGTGGAGGGCGATAGAGGCGTGTGAGGTGGCACATGCGGATGGGCGACACCTGGATGCTGCGAGAGGCATGTGGTCCGTCTGTGGCCCAGCTATGGCTGCCATGCCATCTGCTGCCGCAGCACACACAGGAGCAGGTGCATCAGCATCAGCATTGGCGTCAGCATTAGCGTTGGCATCAGCATCAATCCGTCTTTCTCCTCACTGCAATCCGCTCGCCGCCCACGCGTGTCTCAAGCTCGCCAGCTGGCTGCTTCCCATTGGCTCCTTCAGCCATGGGGTTGGGGGCAATTCAGGAAAGGGACAGCTGGCAGCTTTGGATTGGCTCTTGGCCAGCACAGCGAATGGGTCTTCTTTGGTTCTCCCCCCTCCGTTAGTGTCACATGGGGTGCAGTCACAGCAGCTTGCCACATCCATGGCCGCCGGATCCTCCTTCACAGATTCAATCCGAGCCGTCCATTCCATCCAACCAAATTTCACTCCGGAATCAGATCCAGCCACCCGAACCGATCCTGCTGGCCGATTTTATCCCGCATCAGAATCCAACCCTGGAAAGCCGGATCTTTTGTCTGTAGCAGGGGCGGCGGTGTGGGCGGCAGTGGGAGCATGCAGCGAGATGTCGCAAGCGTGGCTGGCATACGCCCAGTGGCTGGACTGCATGGCTGACACACGCATGCCCCGCCATGCTGGCACGCTTGCTGCTGACGTGGCGCGAGGCGACAGCACAGGAGGGGAAGGAGAGGGGAGGTGCAAGGAGGAGGAGGAGGATGAGGAGGAGGTGGATGTGGTAGCAGCGCTGCCTGCTTCTCTTGATGACGATTACAGTGCTGATGCTGCTGTGCCTGCTCCTGCTGGTGGTACGGCCGGCATGGGTGCATTGAGCTCCAGGCAGGGTGCTATCTCCCCACCATCATTTCATCTACCGGACACGCTGTCGCTCTCCCCTGCACTCTCTCCTCTACGGGCCGGTTTTGGTGCTGCAGCAGCAGCAACTGCTGCTGCTGCTGCTGCAGAAACCGCCGCTGCTGCTAGAGAAGGGGTGCATGCCGCAAGTAGTGCATCGGAGGCTGCTCCTGCTGGGTTCACGGAGGGAGAAAGGGACACAGTGCTGTGTGTTGTTACCGACCTTCTGAAACACCTGCAGCTGGCCAAAACTGATGGTGCTAGTGCTGCTGGCGGTGGCGCTGGTGGTGGTATTGATGCTGATACTGCTGCCAGTATTGGCGTCTCTGCTGAATCAGCCACCAACAAGGCGGCAGAAACGGCAGCAGAGGAAGCAGAAGCAGCGCAAGCATCCGCGCTCCCAGCTGCCCAATCACTGACTGCCACGTGTCTGGCAATCATGGACCAATTACTGCTGCTCCCAGCCCCTCCTGCCTCTCCCGCCCCTTCCGCCCTGCCCTCCCACACTCTTGCCCAGCCCCTCTCTGTGTCCCCCTCTCGGTTCAAAGCCATGGGACCAAACGGATTGCATGTGGGCAGCAGGGAGGGAGGTCTGGGTGCAGTAGAGGCGCGTGGGTTGGGCGGTGGGTTGGATGCGAGGTGCATGGGAGGTGTGTCAGGGGCGAGTGATCAGGTAGAGGAGTGCTTGTGGCAGGAGCTGATGCAGCAGCTGAGTGCAGCAGTGGTGCAACAGATGACAGCCGTGCTGGGAGGAGGAGAGCAGCTGGACTATTGTGGCGAGGATAACAGCGGGGATGCTGCTGCTGCTGCTGCTGCTGTTGCTGGCGGTGCTGCTGCTGTTGCTGGCGGTGCTGCTGCGTCAGCTGTGGCAGCGGTGGCAACGCCAGCAGCGGCAGCAGCTGTGGCAGCAGCGGTGCATCAGCTGCTCGCCACCTGGCGCGCCGCCCGCTTCCGCGCGCTGTCAACGCGACACCTGGCAGCCCGCGCGTACATGCGGTCCCTGCAGCTCTCTGGGTCTGGGTGGGGTGGGTCGTACTCGGGGGAGGCAGGAGGGGGAGGTGGGGTGTGCATTGAAGGAGGAGAGGCTGGTGGGAGGAGTGGGGAAGATGGCGCAAGGAAGAGCAGGAAGAGGAGTAAAGGGAGTGTGAGTGGTGCAAGGGAGCATGGCAGGGGAGAAGATACGATGACCAGGAAGGAGGGATGGCCGCAGGGGTTGGAGAGAGGTCAGAAGGGGTGTGAGGCTGTTGGGATGGGTGGGGCGAAGCAGAGCGGATGGGAGGGGAGGATGGAGGAGGATGGTGGGTCATGCGGGGCGGCGGTGGCAGGTGGGAGTGCGGTGCTGACATGTGTCGCGATGCGAGTGGTTGATATTCTCATGCAGCACGGCTCGCATATGCCGCCCGTGGTTGCCGCCCCTGTGGATGTCGGATGTCCACACGCCTGGCAGGTATGTCGTCAGGCATTTTCATTATGCAAGGTGTGTGGAGAGCAGCATTGATTTATGGTTTGGGTACATTCTAAATAGACATAAGCAATATATACAGCACTGATTTCCTTCTTTCTCTCTCATTCTCCCTAGGAGTTCAAACCGAGCCAGTTGAACAGTCTCAGCAGGACACTGCTAAGGCGTATCAAACTAATTTGGTTCCCTCATTCCCCTCCCCTCCCCTCCTAACCTCCCCACCTCTTTTTCATGCAGCCCATTCTCCCGCAGCTCCTGGCCGCGATATCGGCGCAGCGCAGCGCGGCAGTCAGGCTGCAGCTGACACGTGTCCTGCTCTCATTGGCCGGCGCCGCCCCGTCCCTGGTGGTGTACCCGCTGTGTGCAGCTGAGAAGCATCGCCTGCAGCACCTCAGCCTCGCGCTCGCCTCCCTCCCTGCTGCTGCTGCTCCTCCTCCTACTGCCTCCCTCCCTCCCGCTGCTCCTCCCACTACTGCCCCTCCTACTGCCCGCTCTCCTACTGGCATTCCTTCTGCCCCTCCTACTGCCCCTCCTACTGCTCCTCCTCCCGCTCTCCTTCCTAACTCTACAACTGCTGGTTCGGCCACTTCTGCCAGTGCTGCCGATGCATCAGTTGCTGTTGATGACGTGGCAGCTGACCTGGCATGGCACGTGGCGCTATCGCAAGCCACGCCTGGTTGGCATCAGCTGCGAGCTGCTCTCTCCTTCCTGGTACTCGCCAAAAAGCCTGCTTCCTTCTGCCCTTCCTCGTTGCTCTTCTCTTCTATTCATCCTCTAAAACTTCTCTTATAAATCTCCGTCATTCCCCTTTCCCAACTGTTCTGCCTTCTTTCCTCCGCGCCGGCCTCAACCCCCCAATCTCTCCACGATTCCCCACCCCACGCTTCCAGGAGCACCACCATCCTGCTATGGTGACATCAGCGCGTGCGCTGCTGACATCAGCCGATCGCCTGGCGGTTTTGCCAGAAGAGAGATTGCTGACCTCCCTTCAGTCCTGCCTCTCCCTCCTCCACCGCTCCCTCTCCTCCCTCCTCCTCTCCACCCGCCACCAACTCTCCGCTTCCTCCGCCGCCGCTGCTGCAGCGGTTGCCGTCCCAGCCGTTGCTGATGTGCGTGTGGGGCAGAGACAGGGGCTAAGGCAGGCACATGCTGCTGCTGCTCCTTCTGCTTCTGCTGCTATTGGTGGTGGTAGTGATGGTGGTGTTGCTTTGGCAGGAACCCCCCTGCTAGCAGCGGTGATTCCGGGGGTTGCGATTACGGCTGTGGGGAGTGGAGGGGAGGGGGAGGGGTCGGAGGGAGAAGCAGGGAGAGAGGTGGAGCGGCAAGAGACAGGGGTGGGCGAGGGGGAGGGGGAAGGGGAGAGGGAGAGGGAGGAGTTAGCTCAAGACGACAATGATGATGAGGATGATGGCAGGGGGGTGGTGGATACAGCACTGCCTGGTGAGCTGCTAGATGGTGATGCTGCTGCCGCCGCGGCTGCTGCTGCTGTGGCCGATGGTATCGAGACTGCTGATGAGACTGCAGCAGCACATGGGTCTTCAGTCCCTGCAATCTCATCAGCAGTTGCCGCTGCCAATCCTACCGCTGCTGCAAGCATGCATGGGGGCAACAGCAGTGCAGCATCGGCACCATCAGTGCAGTCTGTCCCCTCAGAGGAGGCCGCGCGAGGTGCCTTCCAAGTCAAGTACCAGGAGATAGTGGCAGGAGTGGTGATGCGTCTGCAGGGGATACTGCACATCTGGGATGCCGATGCCGCCACTCTCGCTGCTGCTACTCCTGCTACTGCTGCAGCTGATGCAGATGCTGCCACACTTAATGATTCGTCAGCAGCAGCAGCAGCCCCACACACGAGCAGCACTCCGCTCTCTGCCCTTGCGGCCTACCTCTCACCTCGGGAACTCCATCTGCGTCCCAAGCTCCGCCCTCTCATCGCTGCAGCTGTAGCCGCGCTACAGTCGCCGCCCGCTGATGTCAGCAGCGGCGCACTACGAGACAAATGCCGCCCGCTGGAGGCGGCTGTAGCGGCGCTGCAGAGGGAGCAGCGGCGGTACCTCTCGCTGCCAGCTGTCGTACCAGGATTCGCCGCTTTAAGGGACACTGCTGCCCCTGTTCCTGGTTGCTTATCCAACTCTGTTACAAGCAGATTCGTTACAGGGAGTAGTGATCCTGACGCTCTGATTAATTCATGTGCTTATAATGAAGGGCTAGTGACAGTCGCTGCTGTGAGAGATAAAGTGGAAGTTCTCAGCACCAAGACCCGCCCGAAGCGCATCGTGATCGTCGGATCCGACGGCCAGGATCGCAGCTTCCTGATCAAGGGCCGCGAGGACCTCAGATTGGACGCACGGATCTCCCAGCTCTTCCAGGCAGCCAATGGGCTGATGCAGAGCCACGGACCAACCAGGAAGCGACAGCTGGCGGTGAGGCAGTATGAGGTGGTGCCTACGGGGAGTCAGTCAGGCATGATCCAGTGGCTTGAAGGGTTGCATAGTCTGTACTCGCTGTATAAGGCGTGGCAGTCCCGCCAGGCTGCTGCTGCCACCGCTGCTGCTGCTGCCGCTGCTACTGCTGGTGGGGTTGGTGCGGCTGGTGGTGCTGCAGGTGGTGGTGCAGGAGGGAAAGGAGGAGCAGCAGCACCGGCAGTAGCAACGCAAGCAGCACCAGCAGCAGCGGCGGTGGTGCAGCGGCCCACGGAGATGTTCTTTGCCAAGGTGGCGGCCGCGCTGCAGGCCAGAGGCATGAGCCGCTCCACGCCGCGCTCTGATTGGCCGGCGGACGTGAAGCGCAGCGTGTTTGATGAGCTGGCAAGGGAGGTGCCACGTCAGCTGCTGGCAAAGGAGATGTGGAGCTCAACGACTGGCTCTGAGGGGTGGTGGGACAAGCAGCAGCGGTGAGTGTAGTGGAATGGTGTGAGGGAATAAAAAACGGCACAATTGTGAGAGGATATCAGTGTGTAAAGATGGTGATGTGCATAAGATGTGAGGGGATATCATCAATGTGTCATGTGATGGTTAGAGCCTTGGAGGTCGACGGTGTGCTCCAAGGGGCGGTGGGGCAAGCAGCAATGGTGAGTGAAATGATGCAAAGGGATGGAATGGCCATGGGGTGAGGTGGCCATGGGGTGAGATGGGCATGGGATGAGATGGGCATGGGATGTGATGGGCGTGGGGTACAATGGGCATGGGGTACAATGGGTATGGGGTGAGATGTGTGTGTTTTTTCTTCCTCTGGCAGTTGTGGAACGATTCCCCCCCTCTTCACATCCAACACATCCCTCCTTTTCCTCATTTCTTCTCTCAACGCCTTCTCCTTCCTTACCTATATTGGCGTCCTCCTTCCTTCCTTATCCCCACCATTCCATTCACACACGCGTCTGTCTCGCTCCCCTCTCCCCCCCTCACCCACCAGCTACACAGCATCAACAGCAGTCACCAGCACAGCGGGCTACATCCTTGGCATCGGCGACCGCCACCTCGACAACATCCTCTGGGACCTCTCCTCCTCCTCCTCCTCCTCTTCCTCTCACTCCTCCGCCCTCGCTTCGACCTCTTCTGCCGGCTCAGTGGTGCACATAGACTTCACGGTGGCGTTTGACAGGGGCCGCCTGCTCAAGGTGCCGGAGCTCGTGCCGTTCCGCCTCACCACCACGCTCCGGGGAGCCATGGGGCTGCCCGGTGCTCTCTCCCCGTCCGGCCCGTTCGTCTCTGCTGCTGTCGCCGCGTTTGAGGCTATGCGGGGCGGGCTGATGGGTGGGGGCGAGTGGGGCGGGATTGGGGGTGAATGGGAAGGGGTTGCTGCTGCTGCTGCTGGGGTAAAAGCAAGGCTTGGAAGAAGAGAGCGTGTGGGGATGGGGGGAGGAACGGGGAGTGCAGCAGCAGCAGGAGGGGCGTTGCTGCCAGCACTTATGAATGCGTTCCTCTGGGACCCTCTGGACGAGTGGGGAGGCCCGCTCGCCCCCGCTGCTGCCACTGCCACTCCCAAACCTGCTCCTCCTGCTCCTGCGGCTGCCCGTACTGCTGCTGCACCAGCACCCTCTGCTGCAGCCATGCCAGCACCCTCTGCTGCAGCCATGCCAGCACCCTCTGCTGCAGCCATGCCAGCACCCTCTGCTGCAGCCATGCCAGCAGCTCCCGCCCCTACCAAAGCCAACCCCGAGGCTGCTCCTCGGCCTGCATTTCCAGGTGGTATCTGGGACGGGGCGCTGCTGCCGTGGGAGGCGGAGGTGGTGACAGGCGCTGCTGCACTGGGCGAACCCAGGGGGAGGTGCACCTGGGGAGGGTGGCAGCAGAGCAACGGCAGCAGCAGCGAGATCATCAGTGCTGCTGCACGCTCAGACAAGGGAGGGGCAATGGGAGCTTCAGTGGAGGCGATGCTTGGTGCTGCCATGACACTTCATGCCTTGACCCACTCTACCTGCTCTTCTTCCTCCTCTTCCACCGGTCCCTACCTCCTGGTCAGATTCCATTCCTCTCCTATCCTATGCCCTCCTTCCCCCGTTCTTTCTTCCAACCCCCCATCCCACTTACCCGTTACAACCTCCCTCCTTTCCCCCCCCTCCCTTCCCCATTGAACTCCCCGGCCCACCATGCCTCTGCATCCCCTTTGCCCTTCCAACCGCTGCCATCATCTCAATTGTCACCTTGTGTGCTTGTGCCTTCAGCCGTCCACAGAACAGAATGTGCTTTCTCATGTCTTGACCCCTGCTCTGACCCTGCTGCACTCTTAGCTCGCTTCAGCATTGCTGATGTCAGCTCCTCCACTCCACACCCGCGTGCTTCAATCCGCCCTCTCTATGCCATGCACACAGTTCTCATCTCAATGCAAAGTCTGATTTTTTTAGAATTCTAGAAAGAACGTGCTTCGATCCGCCCTCTGTGCCATGCACACAGTTCTCATCTCAATGCACCTCACTGCAACAGTCTTCCTTGCCACATCTGTGTGTGTGTCTGTGCCGCCCTCTCTTGTGTGCAGACATTGGCTCTCAGCCTATCCGATGCCGCCAAGTCAGCTGCTGTGTCTGTTCAGGTTTGACTCACATGCACTTTCCATCTCCGTCGTGTGAAGCATGCGTCGTTCAATGTTGCACCAGAGTGTAGTCACTCGGGTTCGGGATTTAGGGTTTGTGGTCTAGGGTTTGGGGGGTGGGGTTCAGCTATTCATTGTTGGGGCATTGCTCACGAGTCAATGTGCAATGAGTGGGGCATTGCTCACGAGTCAATGTGCAATGAGTGGGGCATTGCTCACGAGTCAATGTGCAATGAGTGGGGCATTGCTCACGAGTCAATGTGCAATGAGTGGTTGTGCCGAGTGCATGGAAGGGAAAGCAGGGGCCTGTCTCATTGTGTTGCTGCAGTGTTCCCTTCCGTTCTGATAGGTCTGAAAAACTTGATGGCGCTTCTACATTTAGCGTTCCCATTGCGCAACATATCTCAGCTCACCTCGTGTATTTTCTCGTTCTCATTTTCCTTCTTTATCTTTTGTACAATCCCATTGCGCCACATCAGCTTCTTATTGACACGTCAGAATCCAAGAATCAGGCTCGCTCCGACCTCGTAGCAGCCCAGGAATCCTCTAAGAAGCTTCTCACGGAAGAGGAAGCTTCCAGGCAAACGCTGCGAGCAGCCATGGAAGCCCTCTCTCGCCTCGGCGACCAGCATCGGGGGAAGGCTCGGCGCGCCGAAGCTAAGGCCGCAGCAGCCATGGATGCCGTGGGCGAGGCTCGGCGGTGGTTGGACGACAAGCGGGCAGCGCTTGCTGAGCTGGCACCATCCTTGCCGCCAGCTGTCACTGTCTCTGGTGTTCCCACGCCTAGTCAGAGTGGTGGGAGTGGGAGTGGCAGCGCCCGTGCTGCTGGATGGTTGATGGGGGAGGATGTGAGGCGGTGGGCTGCTGCTGCACTGGGCAACATGGCATGGCAGGATGGCCGTGCGGATGCCACCCTGCCGTTACTCCTCTCCTCATCCTCCCCCTCCTCATCATCTCCATCAACATCATCGTTCCAGTCACTATCACTTTCATCACAGCCGGTAGCGTCAGTGCCTAGCAGCACGCTCTCTCTTCTGGATATCGCTACCAATCCATTGCCCTCCTCTGCTCCTCTGCAGCCACAGCAGCAGAAGCCGCAGCAGCCAACGTTGCTTCCCCTCGCCGTCATCCCTGAGGCTCTCCGTGCCAGCTGTCGCCAGCTGGACCTCCACGTGTGCCAGCTGGCGGCCGCGCGCTGCCGTGCCGTGCTGCGATTGGTCGGCGGGCTGAGGGCGTATGGGGAGGCTGCGGTGGTGGCAGGCGGGGTGGGGGTGACGGGAGGGAAGAGAGGCAGGGCGCAGGGAACAGTAGTAGCATCTTCTGAGCAGGTTGCGAGCGAAGGTGAAGTGGAAGAGGTATGTAGCAGGCAACCACTGCACGCCCCCCTCCCCACTGCAACTGTCTGCATCAACTCGTATCTGAGCACGAGCGCTGTAAGCCGGTGGGCGCGTGCACTGGAAGCCACTGTGACAGCTGCAGGGCTGAGACCTCTGCCTGCTGGTGTGGGCGAGAGGGAGATGCGCGATGAGGCGCGGGCTGCCAGAGAGGTGCTGGATGGGATGGGGCGGGTGGATGGCGGGGTGGGGGGTGGGAGACGCGTGTGGGCGCTGCCAGGAGGAGAAGGGATGGTAGAGGGCCTTGGCAGTGAAAGTGGCGGTCGCAGCAGTAGCAGTGGCAGCGGCAGCAGCGGCGGCAGCAGCAGGAGTAGTGAGGAGCGATTGGTGGAGCGAAGGCAGGTGCTGGTGACGGCTGTAGAGGACGCTTGGAGGGTTGTGGGCGGGGAGAGGAGCAGTGAGAAAGAGTCAGAGAAGACGACAAAAATAGAGGAGGGTGAGGAGGAGGAGGAGCAAGTGGTGAAGGAGATTGAGCGAGTTCTCAGAGGGGGGAGCAGGAAAGTTGGGAACCAGGGAAGGTTGTATCTGTTGGTGACGGCTGTTGGCCTGGCAGCAGCAGCTGCCACAGAAGCAGCCACAACAGAAGGCGCAGCTGGCGCTGCTGCTGCTGCTGCTGACAGTGATGCTTCCAGAGAGGAGTGGTTTTCTGAGAATTCTCAAAAGACAGGAGGAACATGGGTTGAAGGAATGGTCAGCGAGCAGGCAGAGGGATCAGGTGTGAAGGAATCAGAGACAGAGGGAGCGCAATTGGGAGCTTGGAAGGAGGGATTGGGAGGAGAGGTAGTGCTTCGCGAGGAGGTGGCACGAGTGGAAGGCAGGATTCTGTTCGGCTCTGCTCTGGCGTCTTTGCTGACTCAGTTGACAGTTGGTGGTGTGAGCATGACACAGGGTAGTGGGCGTGCTGAGCTGGTGGAGGCGTGTGTACGCGAGCAGCACGTGGCACTGTCTGAGTCCCAGCAGCAGGAAGCAAGACAGCCAGAACAAACGCAGCAAGAACCAACTCTTTTCTGTCCTGCTGCCCTTCCTGCCACTCCCTCCCTGCCATTCTCCCCACCCTCCTTGTCACCCCGCCCTCTATCAATCCCCTCTCCTTCATCCCCTGTGCCCTCGCCTCCCACTACCCCTCCTGCTCGCTTGCCTGCACGTCCTTCACTCTCTCAAGACACAGCTCCTGATGCCTGCGTTGTTGCTCCTTATGATGCTGATGTGGTTTCTACTGATGTTTCCACTGCTGCTTCTGTTTCTGCTGCTGCTGCTTCTACTGCTGCTGCTGGTGCTGCTGATGCTGCTGCTGGTGCTGGTAGTGCTGTGGGCAGTGGTGATATTACTGCAGATCCAGCTGCTGCAGCGAGCAGTGCGTCAGGCACACATCATGCACACCTCGTTGCTGCAGCAGGCAGTGGTGGCACACAGTCCGCACTAGCTCCAATGGTATCAGAGCACCTTCCCCCAGTCGTTCCTCTTTCTTGCTACAGAGAATCCTTGCAAGCAGCGCTTGCTGCGCTTCGTTCTGCTCGCTCCCTCTCCTCCCTCCACCTCCACCACCTGCTGCCGAGCCTCGTTCCGAGCCTACTTCCGAGCCCAGTTTCGAGCCCCGTTCCGGACATGTCGAGTGCAGCTTCGTCACTAGATAAGCAGGCTGTCTCGTCGCCTCTTGTGGCCCAGTTCCTGGAAGCTTCTGACAGGATTGAGCGTCTGGTGCAGGGAGGGGGGAGGGGTGACAGTACGGATGGTGATAGTAGAGTGGGGAAGGAACGCAGCAGTGGTGGTGTGGGTGGTGACGTGGAAGAGGGTGACTCATGGCTGCTTGGTGCTCTGGAGGAGGAGGAGAGGGCTATAGAGCAGCTCATGGGCTCACTCCCTGCTGCTTCTGCTCCTGCTCCAGCTGCTGTTGCTGGTGCTGGTGCTGGTGCTGGTGCTGGTGCTGGTGCTGGTGCTGGTGCTGGTGCTGGTGCTGGTGCTGGTGCTGGTGCTGGTGCTGGTGCTGTTGGTGCTGATGTTGCTGGTGCGAGTGATGCGGCCACTACTGCAGAGGTTGCAGGGGAGCAGCAGCCAGGCAACAAGGGAACGGAGCAGGCAGCCTCTGCACCGTCCTCTCCTTCCCTCGCACAGCAGCAGGAGCCGTCGCAACCAAAACCTGCTGTCTCTCCACATTCCCCTCCCACCTCCCCACCCTCTCAGTCCCCTACACCACACAAACCTCTCAGCTCCCTTTCCCCTCTCCCCGCTCCCTTCGTCCCTTCCCCTGCCTTTTCAATCTCGTCCTCCCTCTCCTCCTCCGTTCAGCCCTCTTCCTCCCCATCCTCCCTCATCTCCTCCTCCTCCTCCCTCTCCCCCGCCCCCTCGCCGCCGCCCAAGCCCAATTTCCAGCTGGCGGACACTGTTCATGCCGCCCCGTTCGTGCCCAGACAGGCCATGCTACACCACACTGCTGCTCCCTACTCCCCATCCCTGCCTGCTGCTGCTGCTGCCGCTGCGCCTTCTGCTCCTCCTCCTATGCCTCCCCTGTCGATCTCTTCCCCTTCTGCAACGGCAGCTGTTGCAGCAGCCAAGGCAGCATCAGCCAGAGCAGCTGCTCTTGTTGCTAGTGCTGCTGCTGCAGCCGCTGCTGCTGCTACTGCTGCTGCTGCTGCTGCTGCTTCCACTGTTCCTAGCGTTGCTGTTGCACCCACACCACCATCAGCATCACCAGCATCAGGACCACCACCAGCAGCATCGGCGTTGTCAGCAGCAGCAGGATCCGCAGCTCCAGCAGTTGAAGCATCGGCACCATCGCTTTCAGGCCCTGCTCCCTCTCCTCTCTCTCCTCTCCCTGCTCCGCCCCATCCCCTTGACCCATCTCCATCTTCCAGCACCGCGCTGATCCACCTCTACCGGTCGTTTGACTCTCTTGCAGCAGCGCACTCTGCCTTCCTATCACTCCTCCCAACCTCCACTGTCCCGGCTGCTCTTGATGCTCCACTCACCACTACTGCTGCAGCAAAACCAGCAGCAACCTCCACTCCTCTCCTCCGTCTGCCTCCGTCAGTTCGTCTGTTTGTGGTGCAGGTGCAACTGGTGGCTGCAGTGCTGCGAGCCTGTCTGGCTGAGAGGAAGGCAGCAAACGCAGGGCGAGCTGAGGAGGGGAAGCAGGAGAGTATCGAGAAAAGCATATCCGGCACAGAGGCAGAAGGAAGGGGTGAGGACTTGGAGGGGCAGGAGGGAAGTCAGAGTAGAGAAGCTGCTCTTTTCAAGAAGATCCATGTGGCGATTCGTGATTGGTTGAGGGCATACACTACTGAGTGTGTGGGGCCGCTAGTGGAGGGTCTGGTGTGTGGGTTCGTGCATCGTGCCAATCTGTCCGCTGTGCTCCATGCTCATTCTGCCACCGCTGTTGCTGCCAGTGGTTCAGGCTATGCTGCTGTTGCTGTTGCTGTCGATGGTTCTGGTGATGCTGCTGCTGCTGCTAGTGGTTCGGGTAACACTGCTGCTGGTGCTGCCGTTGCTGCTGGTGCTGCCGTTGCTGCTGGTGCTGCCGTTGCTGCTGGTGCTGCATTTGATGGTGCTCCAGTGGGTGTTGACAGGCAAGTTCTGCAGCTCTCGTCCCTCATTGGCCAGTTCTGCCAGGCTGAGGTCAGCAGGCGTTCTGCTGACGCCAGCAAGCAGCACACGGCTGACGATTCGAGTCTTTGCGTGCCATCCCCGCGCATGCACGCTGCACACGTGGCAGCCCTTGCTGCTGCACGTGCTGAGCTGGCAGACTTTGATTGGTTGCACGAGCCTCAGCTGCCAGCTGGCTGTGTGACACCTGTCCCTGTTGCTGCCACCCTGGCAGCGAACTCTAGTGGCTTTGGTGATGCCGCTGGTGATGATGCTTCTGGGCTCAGTAGTGGTGGTGGTACTGGCAGCATTCACCAGAAGCAGCACCAGCAGCAGCTGCAACCATCGCCACCCCCCTCACGCACTGCCCTGCTAAGCCAAATCTGCGCCGATCTGGCTGTGGTGCTAAAGACAACGGAAGCCATCCAGATGTGGGAGGCGGCCGGCGCCACTGTAGAAGCTGACCTGGACCGGCTGCTCTTCTGGTGGTATACCACCACTTCCTCCAGCAGCAGCAGCACCACCACCACCAGCAGTAGCACCACCACTGCCACCAGCAGTACCACTGGCAGTGCCACCAGAAGCAGCACCGGTGGCAGGGCAGGAGCAGTGGCAACGCCTACCTCTCTCCCCGCGGCGTACTTGGAGCGCAAGCAGCGGCGGCGGCAGGTGCTGTGGGGGGGGCACGAGGGCGTGGGGCGGGTGGTGCAGGTGGTGGGGCGAGTGCTGCAGGTAGAGGCTGGCAGGGATGGCAGGATTGTCAAAGACCCTGTTGCTGCTGTCAGTGCTGCCGCCAATGCTGCTGCTAATTCTGCTGTGGCCAGTGCTACTGCTGCCACTGCTACTGCTGCTGTTGCCGGCAGTGCTGCTGCTGCTGCCAGTGCTGCTGCTGCTGCCCCTGCTACTTCTCCAGTGCCTCTGTTCCCATCGGGGCTGCCAGCTGGCGGCCGGCCAGCTGCGGCTGTTTATGGGCCGCTGCTGATGGACGTAGACAGGGCAGTTGCTGACGTGGCAGGTGAGAAGGGGAGAGGGAAGATATTGGGCTCTTCTCGTACTCGCATGTTCCCCCCCCCCCCCCCCTCCCTCCGCCCCTCGTCCCCATCCATCCGCCCCAAACATCCCACTCCCCGCTTTGTTTTCTCTCCTCACCACAATACCTGTGCTGCATCACTCAGAGTCCTCTTTCCTAGTAGCTTCCTGAGCCCATGTGCAGGCAGCACGTTTTTTAACCCATTCAGAAGTCTCAAACATCGCAAAGTTTGATATTCTCATGAATCTCAAAGTTCTTCCTCTCCCCCTCGCCCATTCGTCCAAGCAGCCTCGTCAGTCCATCTGCAGGCGGCACAGCAGGCAGAGAGGGCGGCTCGGGCGGCTCAGGTGGAAACAACAGAAGCGCGGCTGGCAGCTCAGAAGCTGGTCGACAGGCTGTCAGGTGAATTAACAGGATGTCAGGTCAGGTGCCCTAATCCAATCTCAGATGTCGTAAAAAGTTTCTAAGATCTATGTGAATTCACCTCCACTGGCAAGTTCTTTGACCAAAATGAGATGATTGACTGAGATTCACCCTGTTGCTCCCTTTTCTCTGTGCATCTTCTCCTTCCCCATCAACCCCCCTGTTTCAGTCACGCTGCAGGCGCAGTCAGCCAATCATAGTGCGGCCCTCTCTCAAGCGCACCAAGCAGCAGCAGGCCTCTCGTTGGCTGCTGCCAGCCTCGCCCCCTTCCTCTCCCACTCCATCCTGCCTCTCGTTCGCCAGGTCAGTGCTGGTCAGTGCTGGTCAATGCTCGTCAATGCTGGTCAAGCTAATCACGCAGGCAGGCTGCCACCATCCCTCTTTTCTGCATCGTTCCTGCCATTTCTCTCTCCTTGCCCTCCGTTTTTTCTATATCTCATGCCAACACTCTGCCTCTCTAGCACTTTGCCTCTCCAACACTCCAACAGTTCTTCAATTGGACATCTGATTTCTGAGGTGGCGAGAATCTCATCTCGTTTAACAATTCTGGCGAGAATCTCATCTCGTTTAACAATTCTGGCGAGAATCTCATCTCGTTTAACAATTCTGGCGAGAATCTCATCTCGTTTAACAATTCTGGCGAGAATCTCATCTCGTTTAACAATTCTGGCGAGAATCTCATCTCGTTTAACAATTCTGGCGAGAATCTCTTCTCGTTTAATAATTCTGGCGAGAATCTCATCTCGTTTAACAATTCTGGCGAGAATCTCATCTCGTTTAACAATTCTGGCGAGAATCTCATCTCGTTTAACAATTCTGGCGAGAATCTCATCTCGTTTAACAATTCTGGCGAGAATCTCATCTCGTTTAACAATTCTGGCGAGAATCTCATCTCGTTTAACAATTCTGGCGAGAATCTCATCTCGTTTAACAATTCTGGCGAGAATCTCATCTCGTTTAACAATTCTGGCGAGAATCTCTTCTCGTTTAATAATTCTGGCGAGAATCTCATCTCGTTTAACAATTCTGGCGAGAATCTCATCTCGTTTAACAATTCTGGCGAGAATCTCATCTCGTTTAACAATTCTGGCGAGAATCTCTTCTCGTTTAACAATTCTGGCGAGAATCTCATCTCGTTTAACAATTCTGGCGAGAATCTCTTCTCGTTTAACAATTCTGGCGAGAATCTCATCTCGTTTAATAATTCTGGCGAGAATCTCATCTCGTTTAACAATTCTGGCGAGAATCTCTTCTCGTTTAATAATTCTGGCGAGAATCTCATCTCGTTTAACAATTCTGGCGAGAATCTCATCTCGTTTAACAATTCTGGCGAGAATCTCATCTCGTTTAACAATTCTGGCGAGAATCTCATCTCGTTTAACAATTCTGGCGAGAATCTCATCTCGTTTAACAATTCTGGCGAGAATCTCTTCTCGTTTGATAATTCTGGCGAGAATCTCATCTCGTTTAACAATTCTGGCGAGAATCTCATCTCGTTTAACAATTCTGGCGAGAATCTCATCTCGTTTAACAATTCTGGCGAGAATCTCTTCTCGTTTAATAATTCTGGCGAGAATCTCATCTCGTTTAACAATTCTGGCGAGAATCTCATCTCGTTTAACAATTCTGGCGAGAATCTCTTCTCGTTCTCTTGCTCCCTAACACTCTGCTTCTCTCCAACAGGCCTTTGACGCGGCGTCTGCAGTGCAGGGCTCAGTCCTTTCTGCTATGATCACACCGGATATTGTCTCGGCCGCCAATAAAGTGCATTCGGAGTGCCGCAGTTTCATCGGCCTGCTTGAAGCAGTAAGTGCTGATAAGAGGACCGAACTTCATTGAGTCTATTCATACCCCACCCATCATGCTCCACCCTCCAATGCATGGTGGGCCCATGACGGCCATGCTAAATCATTCATGTGCATGCACCATGCATATATTTTTTTTCTCAAGTGTTTGTGTCACATATCGAATCAGCAGCCATTTCTTCGCCGTATCACTCCCTCGGCATCTGTGTCTCAGAATATCCAACCTGCCTTCCTCCCAACCCCACTCACTCTCCCTCGCAGGTCCAAGGAACAACATCTTCCCTTCCCTCCTCTCACCCCCACCACCTCTCCTCTCTCCTCAACCTCTCCTCCGTCCTGCACCAGCAATGCTCCTCCCTCCTCCCATCCATCTGCCATCTCGCACACACCACCCTCTCCGCCCTCCACACTCTCCGACTCTCCAAGCTCTGCCACCTGGCATCCCAGTCAGCGGTGCCAGCGGTGAGAGACGCTGAGGTGGCATCAGAATCGCCGCCAGCGGGGCGGGTCTCAGCGGAAGCGCTGGATGGCGCTGTGCTGGCAGTGTGCAGGCGTGGTGAGTGCAGGCGTGCTTCGTGTGTGCCTTGTTGCCTGCCTGGGATCATCTTGCTACTTGTCGTTGTTGTGTTGAGGGACTACAGGATGCATTCTGAACTGAAACGAATGTCGACGGAAGCTTTGAATGGTGCTGTGCTGGCGGTGAGTCGGTGCGGTGAGTGCTGCTTCTTGTCACCATGGCCTTAGAATCTCCCTGGTTCCCATGTCCCCCCTATCCCTGATCATGTCTGTATGCGTTCCACAACCTTCCTAACTTGTCTTTCTTGATTGACTTGCCTGTCTTGCATGACTTGCTTGACCCCCTTGACTTGCGGGACTTGCTTGTCTTGCTTGACAGAGGCAAAGGCAAGGCAGCATGCGGAGCAGGTCATATTGCACCTGCAGCAGAAGCTCAACAAGCAAGACCCTCTTCTGTTCCCTGCTGCCACTGCAAGGTGACCCGCACAGATCCATCCAAACCAATCCGCTCTTCCTCCACCTTTTTTGAAGCACCTTTTTTTTTCTAGACGATTTTTGAGGCGCCGCCCCAAAAAAGTGATGTCACAAACCATCCAATCCGAACCTTTCTCCCTCCACATCTGTTCACCATTCTTTTGCAGGTCGTTTTCTAGATTTCTCATAAACTCCCTGCCGCCACTGCTTGGTAACATGCCCTTGTCCATCCAAGCCTTGCACTCCACATCTCATCATCATACCCACACTGCCTTCATTCTACCCTGCGTTTTTACACCGCGCTAACCTCCCAGTTGTTTCGTTTTCTTTCCGTTCCTCATTTCCAACTCTGGCGCTCCCGTATGCAGCAGCAACAGCACCTCCACATTGCACGAGCCTTCCACTTCTCAGAAGATGCTTTCAACCAAGAAGGTGGTGCGACAGCTGATGGTGGAAGCCTGCAGCCCGGACAACCTGTGTGAGATGTACGAGGGCTGGATGCCTTGGATCTGATGTGGCACTGATGTGTTGCCGTACATGATGACTTCTGAGGCGCCTCAGAAGATGCTTCCAATCAAGAATGTGGTGAGGTAGCCGATGGTGGAGGCTTGGCGCCCTGAACACCTCTGCGAGATGTACGAGGGTAGGATGCTTTTGATCTGGTGGCTTTGAGTCACCTTATATGGTGTACAAGGGTTGGTGGATGGCATGGAGTTGATGGGCTTAGAGTTTGTTTATATGGTGTATGAGGGCTGGGCATGCCATGGATCTAATGGGCTTTGAGTCTGCTTATATGGTGTATGAGGGCTGTCTGGGCCTCACCTGTCAAACTCTGACTGTCAGTCTCCAGCTGTACCTTCAAGTGTTACGGTAAGTTCAAGGGACTCAGGGAGAGTCAAGATTGCAGGTGGAGAAGGAGAAGGTGGGAGAGGAAAGGCACTATTGCAATGGGAATGGGAACTGCATAAGTCGACAAGGGTATTTGGTGCTAGAAAGGCATAGTGCCAGCGTAGCGGAAACGTGTTTGTAGAAAAGAACAAGATAGAAATCTTGCATTGATCATTGAAAAGTAAAAGGATGACACAATGAGTACTCAATGATGTGACACAGCAGGGTATATATGCATCCAGCTACCCCTCCAGAATGACCCATTCACACCAATAATGGTGTACCAATAATTGTACCCTCTACCCTCCAATAATGCTGACCTCCAATAATTCTGGCCCCTACAATAATTGTAGGACTTGGAAGCTTATAAAGAGGACTACACTAAAACCAAACAGCACACTGGTATACAGTATTCGTTATACTGTATTCGGATTTCCAACACTCCCCCTTGCTGTAGGTTTTAGTGAATCCGATTTCCTTGGAGGATGGGGTGGTCGAGGTGGTATACCACCACTAGGTAGGGGTGCGCCCAAACCAAGCTAGGGTTTGGTGGTGGCCAAGCTGCTCGTCACTGTAGCACCTTTCTCCCCCCAAGCCTTTGGTGCTTTCAAACTCCAACCAAACCTCCTCCCTTGATGTTTTCCAATCCCTCCTTCCACTGGCGACTTTCCAGATCTAGATACAGCGCGTAGTGGCTGCTACTGAGGAAATAGTAGCAGCTCCATGACGAAATCTCCTCGTAACCATGGCGAAATGCGTAGATCGTCATGGCGGATTGCCCTTAGCGCACACCGAAATTCCGAAACCGTAGACTTGACTACACGCGATTGTCAGTGCTGCTGTCTTTTTCGCACGCCTCCTGTGCGACGACGCAAAACCGCAGTGGATGCGCGTCTGCGACCACTGCAGTTGCGGATGACGCGAATCGGTAGCAGATAACACAGGGTGTGCGGCTGGCGCGGAACTGCATTGGTGGGCGCACACTTCGCGCGACAGTTTCTCCCCATGCTTTGGCAATCATGCCAAGTTTGCTCAAACTTCACCTATGTTGTCATGTGATGCTCCCCATACACTCCAGCCGGCACACGGTAGCAGTCGGAGTTGCCGAACTCCATCAGCTAAAGAGTTGTGCATGCCGACGCACTCCAAGTATCCCAAACTCTGCACTCCACGTATGCAGAAATGTCCACTCCAAGTATGCAGTGTTGTGCACTCCAAGAATGTAGCGCACTCCAAGTATGCAGAGTTGTGCACACCAGGTACGCAGTGCTCCCATGTATATTATCCACTCTTCCCTCAGGTGGTACCGTTCATCTGCTGCAACCAATACCACAATACCACTGAAGCACGACGTATGACGACCGGTTGCATTCATTCTTCCTGCTCCCCCTGCCTATTTGGCAACCCTTGGTGAGTAGGTCTTCCCCTTATGCTTCTTGACTCCATGTCCCACACTTATGCCACCAGACATACTCCACACCCCACCTCCCGCCACCCATGTGCTTGTAGTGATCCGCGTACACAGCTACAAGCACATGAGTGAGTGTGGAGTTAGGTGATGCCATGTTGTGCCGCACCGTTCGAGGTGGCCGCACAGGTGAGTACAACACCAGAATCCTTGACTTGATGATTGCCTTGACCAACCAGCAAATTGCAGGTGAGATGCTGCTTGCTTGGCTTGTCCACCTCATTTCCCACATCATCATTTTCCACGCCTTCCGAAATGGAAACACCAGTCACAGATACGCCATCAGCTGTACCTCCGCTTCCTTCAACTGCACTGACTTCATCAGCTACATCAGCTCCAGGTAAGTCTTGTTTTGCATATTCTGCTCCTTCGCCTTCATGTCCTTCAATGGTCGAGAATGCAGGAACCGAATCCACTACGGACCTGTGGCCTCCTCCCCCTGAAGTCCACACCACACAGTGGGGTGAGACTTCATCCGTATCAACATCATGTGCCGGATTCCGCACGATGCAGGCTTTGTGCGCCAGGCGGTATGTGACAGAGGCATGTGCAGACTTGCCACTCGACTGCATCCCAGGTGTGCGGAAATCCGTGCTCTCATGTGCGTCAATGTGCACACCAGGTGTGCGGAAAAGGGTAACCCCCTCACGATCAACCTGATGCGATGACGCGTCATAACGGGAATGTCCAGGATCATGGGCGGATGTAAGTGCATGCGCATATTGCACCACGAGCACTCCATCCACGTTCTTAGCAAATCCAATCCGCACGTACTCCTCTCCATCTTTCATGGTGACCTCCGTGTCTCCATTAGCAATTGTATTGATGTGCGCTCCCTTTTTCAGCAGCTGACAATAGGAGAGCAGGTTACTCTTCAAGCCAGGTACGTAGAGGACGTCAGTGTACCGAACTGTTGTCCCATCAGGTGCCGTTGCTCTGATCGTTCCTGTCATCTTGCTGCTCAGCTCGCTCCCATTAGCAAGCTCCACATAAACAGGTTCGTCCAGCTCCCTTAACTCTTCAAACCAGCTCTTGTCCGAAGTCATGTGCTGGCTGCATCCACTATCCAGCATCCAAGATGACGCTTTAGCTGGCGGTAAGGTAGCTTGTGACGATCCCATCATTGCAATGCACGTAACAGTACGTTGTTTGTCTTCCCCGGCTGCCCCTTGCTGTTTTGATGCATTGTTGTCACGTTTGGGGCTGCAACTCCTTCGTGGGGAGGACGAACGGCTGTCGCTGGTGTGCAGTTTTGCCTTTCCGCGGGTATGCGGTTCCCACCCTGGTGGTATCCACCCAGGGGGTGCCTTGGTACACTTGAAGAAGGGGTGGCCAGGCTCCTTGCAGTACCAACACACGAGAGATGAGCGACTTGCATCTCCATCCTTGCCATGCGTTTTCTCCCCAATTGACCCCTCCTTCCCGTTATTGCCCTTTGCAGTTGGAGAAGGTGAGCAGTCTCCACGTGCTTGTCCAACCATGCGAGGTGGACGCCGGTCACGGTTATCCTTTGTGATGAGATCGTGATATCTCTGCTCCCGAATCATCATCCGCTGCAAAGTGAAGCTGTCCGTTACGTTGTGTAGCATTGCCGAGTGCCTCATCTCCTCCCAATGCACTGGTAGTCCGGTGAGCAGATTTAAGGTGAAGGTATCTTCATCCACCATCTTCCCCGCGAGTGCTAACTTGTCCCGGATTGCTGTTGCGCGGTTGACGTACTCCTCCACCCTTTCGGTGTTCCCCATTTTCAGGTTGTCCAACTGCTTCAAGAGAGAGACCTTCGCCACCGAATCTTTGGCCTGGTAAGTGTCCATCAAATACTCCCATGCTTCATAAGCCGGGCTGTAGGATTCCTGGAACATGTCTAGCTGTAGTTGAATCGTGGCGCTCACGCTGTGCAATAGGACCCAAAAGGCGAGTGCCGCACGCTGGGAGTAATCCGCCTGTAGCATTTCCAGCCGCCCCATAGCGTCGTCAATGTCACCATCTCCCATGGTAACCGGATACTGCAGGGTCAGAAAGAACTCCCACAGATTCGTGACGCGGGCGTTCATACGAAACCGTAGTGCCCATTCGCGGAAATTTGAGCCGTCAAACGGAGTGGTGGTGAATGCCTTGTCCACCGTTGCTCCCACCATTTTGCGTGACAGTCGTTCCTTGTCTTCGTCCGTATATTCACGTGGTGCGGGGTCGAAGAGAGTAGGCATGGTTGACGGTCGAGGTAGCTGTACCGTGCGCCGCATATCTCCATTCTGTCCACCAAGTTGACGTTACAGCACTTCCACTTGATCCCGTCGCATGACACCATTTGACTGCATTCCGTATCCCATCCGCCCCATGCTGTCCACAGAGTGTGCGCTGATTGGTGGACGATGTGCACGTGGAGGGATGATGTTGTCGCCATGAAGGTGAGACCTGGGCATGGGAAGAACTCCAATGGGATGGGAGTTGGTCGCAAGTCGTCGTAGTGGGGGAGCACCAATAGTGTAGGAGGCGAATCCCACACCTTCCACGCCCACTTCACCACTTCTGTCACCCTGATGCCCAATCTGTCCACTTCTCATCCCACCAAACACTGCACTCCGATACTCATCATTCCTCCTCCGTGCTTCCCTTTGCATGGATGATTGAGGTGCGGAATTGGCGATCT